GTAGGTTCTAAGCAGACCACATTCAGGGTCGTCAGAAGAGCTTTACATTGAATCAAGTCCATACCATTCTCCCATTTATGGATCAAGAATGAAAGCATGCACCCAGGATCAAGTGCAGGGGTAGAACTCCATATGATACTTCTTCCCTTTCATTGAGACCACTGGTGAACCAAGTCCACGATAATCACTCAAGATGGAGCTAGCAATAAATCTCAGCAAGGTATGATAGTACAAAGACAAGTTCATCTCATTTCCTCGATTCCCTAAAATTGTCCTGCCTTCTATCGTCACCGACTACGGAATCTTTCCTGATACTCTTATTTCTAATTTCTTCTCTGATCTATTAACAAGTGATCACCTTCCCTCCCAAGAGAAGTAGGGGACCTTATGACTTCTACCCATGAGATGCTGAAGCACAGCTTGCTGCCTGCAGCACTGAGTGTGTGCCACTTAGACTTAGTGAGAACAAAGCATATCCAGGTGGAGTAAAGAAAGATCAATCAACGCGACTGACAGCCTTTCGTTATAACGTGGCAGCCAACCTGCTGAAGCATTTTCACAGTCAAGTTGGTCTGTGTGAAGAAAATCCACAGCCTAAGAACGTAATTTAGGCCTTCAGAGCAACCCCAATCTGATAGTCCTCCTAAGTCATTTAAATACAAACTTCAGGAACAAACCACAAAGCACATGACTAAAACTCCAATTAATAGTAAAAAGCAATAAATACTGACAGACTGCTATGGTAAACTTCTGCAGAGGTCACACCAGCTGAATGCAACTTTGCCCTCAAACAAAGCTATGTTTTGCCTTACCCTACCCTTTTCCCAGCCAAGGTTCTCCCCCATTTGTGGGGGATCCTTCTTAATTTAAACTCACCAGGTCAGTGAACATCATATGACCATCTGGTGTGACAACATATTACACATTCACAGAGTATGGTTCTAATCACAGCACAGTTTAAACAACCACCCGAGATCTCAGCAAGGTGCTCCTAAATGGAAGAATTTTATATTTTGCCTTTCAAATTGTTTTTATTGGAAGCATACTTGTGAGAACACTAAGAAGTAAAAGGCCTCAGCCTGAGCTTCAAAGCCACAAGCACTTCGCAAACCCACCAAGCTCATTTTCCCACCTCCAGCCTCCCTCCCTCCCTTCTGCCTTCGATGGATGGGATTCTATTTCATCTTTAGTCTCTGGAGGAGAATGTACCTGCCAACCAATGTCAAGAGCAAATCACTTCTTTGTCAATTGAGATGCTGTTCATTGTGCACTTGCGTGCTTTTAGCACCAAAAACAGATGCGCCATTGTTCAAGGGTCACTGTTAACTCTTTCAGCAAGTATACACTAGCAGAATACAGGAGCAACGCCACCTTCTGCGGGGAGAGGTGTCTCCCCGGAGCCTCTGCATTAAAAGTCTCATTGCTAAGGTCACCAGGGAGTTAGAGCACAGCCTTTAGAGTTTTCTGCTAAAAAAGAATTCTTCCTCTAACACATTCTTATTTGCCAAATTAAGATGTTTATTAGGTTAGCCGATTACTATTTTAGGACTAGGAGATAAAGGAATGTCACTGAAGGAACAAGAAAATAAATGTAGGGTGTAGCTATTCTCTTCTTTCTTTGGAGGACGCAGCAGAGAGTTTAAAAGAAGATTTTAGGGAGGCTGGCCCCATAGTCAAGTCGTTAAAATTCCGCGCACCCTGCTTTGGCAGCCCAGGCTCATGGCTTCGGATCCTGGGTGTGGACCTGCTACACTCATCAGCCATGCTGTGGCAGCATCCCACATACAAAATAGAGGAAGACTGGCACAGACGTTAGCTCAGGGCTAACCTTCCTCAAGAAAAAAAAGAGGAGGACTGGGAATGGATGTTAGCTCAGGGCAAATTTTCCTCATCAAAAAAAAAAAAAAGAATGATTTTAGGAGTGTGTAGGTTCTGAACCAGAGAAGGCCAATTTTAGCTGAAAGTGTGATGGTCCCTGCATCAGAAGTTCTTGCTTTCCAAAATCCATACACAAGCTTCCTAAGAACTGAGATGCCCCAGGTTGAAAGAGAACTTGAGGAACCCAGTAAGGTTGCCTTCACTAAGCCAAGGAGAGAAGAGTCCATCTTTCAACGTGATGCTTGAAGGATGCTCTACCACTCATTGAACCTGAGGGAAAGCTCTGCTTCTGTCCTGGGGGACAGTCATTGGTCAAGAGAACTCTGTTGCCCTCTTGTTAATGTCAGCCACCTATATTAGAGCACACCTCCCATCAGCTGACTTCTACCAGAATCATTCCATGGCCTGGCCTCTAGCCTGGCCCAAGCCCACCTCTACATCCCCAACATCTACTGGACTCCACAGAGACTGGTAACCCAGACTGTAGAGCGAGGACAAGGCACTATAAAAAGAAATACGGGAAAATGTGTCACTTCAATGACTTAAGTGGTAAAGAGAGAAAACAGGCTTTGGAATCCTTGGTTCCAATGTAGGTGCTCTTACTTATTAATCTGTCACAGGATTTTGAGCAAATTATTCCACTCCTCAGAATCTCAGTTTCCTCACCTGTAAAAGAGATAAAATGCCTACTTCGCAGAGCTGCTATGAAAATTAAGTACACACAAAGTAGGCATTCAGAAAGTGATAATTAATATTCCTATTTCTTTATTATATCAAGGGGCAACTCCCAATGCATGCCAACCAAGAGTGTTATTTCACTAGACACAATTCTGACAATAGTGCCCTGGAAATGTAAAGGATGAGATCTGTGTAACATACGGCTGCTACCCTCATGAAGAAACACACACACAAACAGCAGTTTTACAAATTCCTAGTTTACGACGTCAAAATTCTCTGAACTAAACAGATGCTAATGATCAAACCGCATGATGACTTCTGCTCATTTCTTCACCATAAATAAACAAAACCCTCAAAGATGAAGCAAATGTCCTACTTTACTTCCTCTACGTTTGGGATGGCTAGGAATTCTTCAATGACCTTCTGGGCTTTCAAGGTAATTTTCAGAAGGAAAAGAATACCAAATCTGCTTTAACCATTCTGGAAATACATTATTATTATAATTATACCATTATTAATAGTAGCTATTTCTTATGGAGTATTTATCACATTCAGAGTCTTATACAGGTACATGCATGACATTCTGCATGAGGAGCAAATGATTATCACTGCAAGAAACAAATTCCAAAAGGGAAAATAAAATTTATTTCATAAAAGGAAGTTACAAAACCCAAATTTAGGGCCTAACACAATACTGGCCTCCCAAACTAAACAAAAAACGATTACCACTCAACATTTACACCTAAGAAGTTTCCTCTAGACTCCAGAGCCCACTTGCTTTATTTCTTTCCAGAGTTCCTAAGGGAAGCCAATTTAACATCAGCACCTCTCCTTCTAGAAATTAAGATGATTACCTCTCTCTGCCCTCTCGCTCCTCCCTCACCACACTCCTATTTTTTTTTTTTTTTAAAGATTTTATTTTTTCCTTTTTCTCCCCAAAGCCCCCCGGTACATAGTTGTGTATTCTTCGTTGTGGGTTCTTCTAGTTGTGGCATGTGGGACGCTGCCTCAGCGTGGTCTGATGAGCAGTGCCATGTCCGCGTCCAGGATTCGAACTAACGAAACACTGGGCCGCCTGCAGCGGAGCGCGCGAACTTAACCACTCGGCCACGGGGCCAGCCCCCACCACACTCCTATTTTTAAGAGCCTTAATAACACAGTCAAAATTGAACCCTGAAGTGATTCTTTAGCCAGCCTCTGTTGGCATCAGGCTCTCTGTGGATGGGGGTGGACTCCCTTCTAGCCTCTATTAGGTTCTGCTTTTCACAGTAAGATCCTGAAAGCACTGACAAGGGTCAGAAAAGACCTCCCACACTATATTAACAGATGCCTCCCGGAATCTCCTACTGGAGAATCCAGGCTAATTCAGGACATCCAGGGGAAGAGAAGGCAAAGGCCCACACGCTTTCCTTAATGGCAACCTCTCCCCACATCCCGACTGGGACAAGTCCACTGGAGAAGCAAATCCAATTGACCAGCACAAAAACCTGCATACAAAAATGGAGCACAATCTTAAGGGTGAGTCAATCCTTTGGGAACCACTGATGTGTATGTGTTTCCACTGAGTATGTCATTTCCACAGGTACCTTTACCTTCTATTAAGTGCTACAAAAAGTAGAACAAAATAGTTAACACTAGTAGGTAAAGATCTAGTTTGCTACTGTTATGCTAATCAATGAGGAGTTACATGGTTTCTCGAAGCGGTCTATTTAAAATATTACTGCATTTTAATCTCTTTTTTAAAAATGCCACAGCAAGTGTGTTGAGTACAGCCCTCAGGAAGTTCACAGAAACAATTCTCACTCTCCCAAAGCTGTGAGAGGCATTTTTAAAAATAAAACAACTGTCATTTCAGAATCCAGAATAAGGGCTGTGACTCTCATGACCCCATGCAGAGTGGGAACCCCAAGGACAGAAATGTGAAACCATTTTCCATTCTGCTCTTTTTTGCTAAAGAGAAGAACTTCAAATAAGATCTCTGCTGTGAACAAAGATATTCAAACAAGAGGCTCCTCTGGTTGTTTCCCCAGCAGTGAGCTTCCCTGGGGATCTGACTACCCCTTCTGGAAGAGGGCACAAGGCAGAGGATACGTGTGAGCTCGTATATCATGAAACTCCCCTTCTCCAGGAAGCCTGGACACCATCTGAGATTTATGAAATATGCCATGGAAGAGATTTTCAAAGTCTCTCACTCTCATGATCATTTCTGCTTCTCAGGCTACTAGTCTTCCATGAACTACAATCTCAGACAATATCAATCCTACGTGCTTAAACAAACCCCACAGCAATGCAGAAAACACGTCAGGCGTTACCAAACTGTGACAACAAATATGGAGCAATCAATATCCTTTGAAGAGACTTGGTGAGATTACAACTCTTGGTTTTGAAACAAAGCTCCTGGTACACCATTTGAAACAAAGAGAAGGGAAGGCACTTTTACTTACTAGGCACCTACTAAGAGCCATTCCTCAGCGTCATCCACCTTCTTCCATTTAGTCATGCCAAGTTCCTGTTTTGCTCATGAGAAAACTGGGCTCAGTTTAAGTATCTGCCATAACTGCCCAGTTGGTAACTGAAAAAGCCAATATTATCTCATTGTTGCTGCCCTTCACGCTCTCACGCTGGCATGGTTTCCCGACACTGTGAAGTCGTCAGAGTACAATAGACACCGTGTGAAACAAACTACACATTCATCTGCAAACCAACTACAGTGGGGGTGTGGGGCAGGAAAAAGGTTTTTCCCTCAGACTCAAAAGACAGTCTTTCTATACAAGTTAGATCTGATCCCAGCCTCGCAGGATGACTATAACCTTGAGAGTAATCCATGAGGGAGAGCCAAAGGGAAGGTGGAAGAGGACGGGTGTTCCTGGGGAAGGGAAATTGAAGAAAGGTGCAGAGGTGGGAGAGCCCAGGGCCTGGAAAGGAGAATGAACAGTGCCTTCAACTTCACCCTGACTTCCCCAGGCCAGCATGGTGAAACACTTTAAGGTTACAAGTACCTCATAAACTTGTGAGAAGTTACTACATACAATGAAGAAAGTGTGGACACAATATTGCTATCTTAATAAAGATCAAGAAGAGATAAGTCATTTGAAGGTGTTTTCACTTTTTACAATAGACTTCAGCTGCTAGATTGCCACACAAGCAAAAAGCTTTCCCAGCAGTGTGCTCGCCAAGGTTGACAATAGGCTCCTTTGGCTCAAACACAGGACCCGATTTTGCACGTACAAATGGTTCATTCATTCAACCCATAGTTACTGAATGCCTTCTGGGTGCCAGGCACCGTGCTAGATGATAGGGATACAAAGATGAACTGACCTTATTCTTGGCTGGTCAAAGCCCAGGGGGAGATGGACACAAGAATTAAAAGGCAATGAGTGCTATAAAAATAGCAAACAGGCAGTGATTAGTGTCAATTAACTAGGTCCGTGTTCAAACGGGAGCAGTAGAAACATTTTTTTAATTCACCTTTTTGCCCACATCGAGGGCTATCTTTGATATGGATGCATCTATTTCTAGTTTATGTATTTGTAGATATTCTCATAAAGCTAGTGAATTCTCACCCACCTCTCCATTTTTACAGACTTCATTACATTTTTCCATGACTACAACATCCAAGAGAAATAATCAACTAGACTAGGTAAGGGACACTCCTTCCAAAAATCCCTTTATATCAGTTCTCTATCACTCCCCATATTCATGTGTCCTATTATCTATTTCAGAGAGTCAACTCAAAAATCTCCCAAATACTTGAGACTTCTCTTTCCAGTAAGTTTTCTAGCCTTCCATCTACCACAGTAAAGCTAGGGATATGGCACCCCCCTGGCCTTGGGAACAGAGTATTGTTTCTTAACCTTGATGCAAAGCATTTCCTTCTAGCACTGCTGCATTTTTAGCAGATTGTTAAAATATCTGCATTTTAAAAGGAAAACTAAGTAAAAATGATGCTAACACCCTTAAAAATACTAGATACAAGTTTAAAAGCAAAATTAAAGGATGAGGAGCTAAACAAACAAATGGAATATTAACCATACTGCAATATGACACTTCACTTAGTCAAGCACTGATGTATCAGGATAGCCCACCTGATGTCTAACTCTGAGACCAGTAAAGTGAAATAATACAATTTGGAAATATATTTGCCTCACCATGAGCCATCATAGTTTTAAATGAAGTTCCTCCAAACAGACAATCTGACAGTCCTAGCAGAGTTCACTGACAACGTGGAAGCATCATAATGGGTTGTCCAATAAATCAACAGTGTCCACATCCCAGCATCTGTCCTAACAGAAGAGTGGTTTTTAAATGGCTCGTACCTAGTATGTGAACACACTGCATACACTTTTAAAATACTGAAAAAGGGACCAGCTTGCTTTACCTATACTCAGTGAGTTGTCTGTCTGCAAAAGTAGTTAGATGATGCATTACCAAAAGCTACCCTACAGATAACATCTCCCCATGCTTGGGTCACCATGGTAAAGGATGCTTGAGTTGTTTTTCAGGAACTAAGAGTTGACCTCTGTCCAATTCAGGCTGGTGGAGACCACCAGTCCACCAACTGGGCCTGTACAGGTGTCTGACAGGCGACCTCCTGATATCAAGGAGCTGAAATCTCCACACTCAGATCAGGCGAGCGCCACCACTTTGTGAACATGGTCCTATGAAAAGCCACGAAACTTGACTACACTTGTGTAGAGCATCAATTGCCTCACTTCTCCTTTCCTCCAATCACCTATTCCCACACTTCAGACTACACTGCCCCTTATCCCCTAAATATCCCTGAACTCCATTTTCAAGGAGGCAGATTTGAGATTTGTCCTCCCATCTCCTCGCTTAGCTGCCTTGTGAATAGATCCTTTCTCTGCTGCAAACTCGTCATCTCGGTGACTGGCTTTTCATGTGACAGGCAAAAGGACCTGGTTGGGTAATAATATCATTATAGTCTCTAAAGACATCTCCCTTCCTCATCAGCAGGACTCAACATTACTCTACTGATCTCAAGGGTTCCATTTCTCCTACACGAGAGCATAAGAAAACACACACAAACAGACAGCAGAGAGAAAGACAGCTGCGTTTCACCTCCCTTCCTCTGCTCAGGCTTGTTTCATAGCTGTTCCCTTCAGTCCTTCCCTAGTCACCTGTCTCAACACCTGGAACAGGTCCTCCTATCTCACCTGCTCCGAGGCACACATCTTCTCACTCCTGAAAATCTCTCCAGAAAACTCATTCCATGAAGAATCTCATTAAATAGCCCACACTTCCACCTATCCCATTAAAAAGGATGCTAATACATGACGTTTGTCTAACAATGAGCAGTCTACACAGCGTGTCACATTTAAGCTTTCAGTAAATCCACTAACAAAGCAGCAAGGCAGACACAGGCCATGCATTACTATCCCGCTTCACACATGAGGGAACTGGGAGTCCCTCCAGAACAGAAACCACATTGTGATCATTTCTGCATCCTCAGCAACTCACACAAATAATGCTTAATAAATAAGAAAGCAGGAAAGAGATTTGGGCTAGTGAAATAGAATAAACATTAGGTCTTCTAATTGCTGACCCAATGGGAAAAAGAAAAGAAAAAGAAAAACAGAAGAGCAGGTTAAACAAGAAATCAAATACATATTATGAATATTCAGTTAGTTACATTCAAATGTAACCAGCATGACACATTTATAAGGCCACAGTAGGATATAGATATATAGTCATTCTAGGACCAGAAAAAACACTAGAATTCTGAAAATGATGTATAAATCCTGTTAGCTTAGATGTTTCCATAAATGGAAAAGGATACTAAAGTGCTAAATACGACTCAGGGGAAACTCAATTTGCACATATTCATCTTTAAGTGATCCTACTTGAAAAGATGCTTGCATATAAACTTTCAGCCAAAAGTAAAACACTCTCTATGACCTGTGGAGGTATGGAGAGCTGGTGACATTGTTTACAGGGTAAATAGGGTTAAATGGGTCTTGTATCTTTAAGTTTGAAACTTTTAGGGAGACTTAAGCAAATGTCTGAACAAAGATTCCACTGCAGGTCATTACCGCAGCTATCAATCGTTTTTTGGCAACCCAAAGTGAGGGGCTGAGAGAGTTCCAGCCACAGATTCACACAAACAAATGCAAGAACGAGCTTCTACTGAAGTTCCCACTTCTTATTCTATAAAATAAGAAGAGTACTACTGGGCAACAGGATTTCCCGTGATGGAAGTGTTGTATTTCTGCATGGCCCAATACAGTAGCTACTAGACACATGCAGCTCTTGTGTACTTGAAATGTGGCTAGTGTGGTTGAGAAACTGAATTTTTAGTTTTATATATGTTTAATTAGCTTACATTTAAATAGCCACATGTGGTGTTGGTGGCTACCATATTGGACAAAACAGCTTAAGATGAAAAGGAAATGCATTAAATTTTAACAAGAACTCTTTAAAAGAGGACAGATTCACTCCTACGAGTCTAAAAATAAGACCAGATGCCTATCTAAGAATTTTAATACTAACAAACCTTCAAGATCTAGCAACAGGAAGTGAAGTCTTGTCCAAGGTCAAATAAACACTAACAGTTACGAGCTAGGCTGGCCCTCCAGCCCAATCTCTCATCAAGATTATAGTTTGCTGAGAAGCTCAGCAATGAACTGGATGAAAAAGGAAATTAATATTTACAAATAATCTATTATGTGTCAGCCACTGTGACAGGTTTTTTGCAAAACTGTGGTCTTATTTCATCCTCATCACAATTCTGACAAGTAGGCGTCACTATTCCTATGAAGTAACTCTAGAGAGATGGCAAAAGCAGGATTCCAACTCAGGATCTGCGTAACTTCAGAGAGCAGGTTATTTCCATATCACCATACGGCTTCCTCCGCAAGGTCTCTATCAGCCTGATCATTAGACTTTCAGTGAAGTGGTTGATCACATACCCCAAAGTTTTCAACATCTAGTATTCTCCATGAAGAGTGCTGGAAATTAACTAGTATGCTAACCAAGCATGAGATAACCCCTCATTCCCAAGAAAGCAAGTTGCATTTCTCCAGCTTTCTTACAGATCCTACTACTTTCAGCCCTATGGCAGGGCTGCCTCTGAGATGGAGAGCAGTCAAAGGAAGAGCTTAGCACAGCCATCATGTACTCATTAGTCCTCATGAGTGTTTGGAGGAGGTCCCCGCTTTCAATAGTAACATCACTCTTCCCCTACAGAGAAGGCAGCTGGGAGGTTGATCGCCCAAGGCCACACTGCACCCTGTGCCTGAACGCTCCATTCCTCAGACATCCCTGGCTCAAAGCTGCTTCCTCAGCTCCTGCAAGTCCATCTGACCCCTTGCAGGATTCCCCAGGGCAGATTTTTCTGACTTCAGAGGAACCCTCCTCTCCCTTGACAGTAAGAGATACATGCAGAGTTCAAAGGATCCCACCCTGGAAGCCTCAACTAGAAACAAAGCAGGAACAGCTCCCCAAAAAACATACATCCACACAAAACTTGTGCATGAATGTTCACAGCAGCATTATTCACAATAGTTGCAAGGTCGAAGCAACTCAAATGCCTATCAACTGATGAATGGAGAAAGAACATGAGGTATATCTATACCATGGAACATTATTCAGCCAACAAAAAGTGATAAACTATTGATATATGGTACTTTATGGAGGAAGCTTGAAAACGTCACGCTAAGTGGAAGAAGACATAAAACGCTACATATTATTCAATTCCATTTATATGAAATATCCAAAATAAGTAAATCTATAAAGACAGAAAGTAGAAGAGTGGTTGCTAAGAGCTGGGAGGAAGGGGAATTAGGGAGTGACTGCTAACAGGTAAGGGGTTTCTTAAGGGAGTAATAAAAACACTCTAAAATTAAATACTGGTGATGGTTGCACAAGTCTGAATATACTAAAAACCACTGAGTTGTAGATTTTAAAAGGGTAAATTTTATAGTAGGGGGAATATATCTCAATAAAGTTATTTTTTAAAAAACGAGCCCCTAGAATAATCCTAACAAAGCAATGGCAGGCACCCAGAAGGGATAAACCCAGCCCAGTTGTAGTTAAACTGTTAATTAAAATGAGAAAGCCAAACGGTTATATTTTAAAGAAGACTTCCTTAAATTTGGTCTATGACTTCACCAACTGTCTTTCATTGAAACCTTAAAAACACAGGAGTGAAAGAAAAGCTAAGATCATCTCCAACGAAGAGTAAGGAAACCAAGTCCCAGGTATACATAGGACTTTAGATGACCTGTATGGAGTGCAATACAAAAAGTATGAGAAAGGCCTTCTAATAAGTCTTCTTCTCTGAATTAAACTTGACATTCCCAACTATTATTTTTTTGCCCTAAATACGAATGGATTAGACTAAATCATAACCAAACAGACACTGAGTACTTGCCACGTGCCAAGTCCTGTTCTAAGCACACTAACTATCTTATATAACTTAGTCCTCATACCCCCCTATATTCACGCATAGACATTTAGGGTGATGTGGGGTCCTGCTCCAGTGCCTCTGCCCATTCCTTCAGAGTCTGAAGAGCTAGTGCTGGCAGAGAAGCTGGTGAGCAGTGAATGGTGGACAGGACTCAGACTGTCTGGCTCCGACAGCTGGTCAGCCCTCCAAAGATGACTGCTTCTCCCTTAATGGCTATCTCAAAGCTCTTCCTCCACAAAAAGGTTCTATAACAAGAATAGGTGGCACTATTCTTGGGCACTAGAAAGTAATAAAACTCAGCCCTCCAAGGACTTAACACATTGGAGAACAACAAACATAAAAAACATTGACATATGTTTACATATTTACATATATTTATATATATATAAAACTGTAATAACAATATCTCATATCTACCAATGAAAAACTATAGTTCTAGTTCAACAGCAAGGGTGAAAAGTGGTGATCACCTCAAGATCTAAAGGCAGAACAGCCCAGCAGGGAGCAGGGACAGAGTAAATGCTGTCAACTCTCTCCTGCCCTCTGATTTCCAATGGCTAAACCCAACTGGACATGAGAGCTAGGGCGCCTCTGACACAGTCCATAAAGGTGAACTGGGGATGTACAGAGAAGAGTGGAGGATGGATCTGGGGATAAAAGAAAAACAATAAGCACATGGGATCACAGGCCTATTGCTGTCACGGTCAACTAGCCTTATTAAATCCATACTCAAACACAAGGAAAGTGTTTTTCAAATGGGGGTGATGGGGTTCCCACAGAAAGTCAATCGTAAAGCACATTCTCACAGTCCCTCCCTCTGGTCTATGTCTCTAGTTACTCAGGTTTAATTTGGGATATTTAATAAACGTAAAGCTATTAAAATTAAGACTTTCCAGTTATCTACTTCATGTTCATTTCAGTTACCTGCCTCTTTTTCAACACCTTGACTAAAATAACCCACTAGCACAATGTCTTCTAAATCCACATATTTACAACTGACACAAGATCAGCACTGAGTTTTCTCCAATTGTCAAGGTATTATCTGATCAAGAAAGTCTAAGTGCTAAGGACCACAACAAATGATATTCATCCACACATTTGTACCAAAAATATTACCTGGCCCTAAAGACCAAGACCCTTACTCATAGGCCGTGCAGGATAGTTAATCTCCCTTATAGCACTTGGAAAAAACCAAGTGGTTAGTCCAGCCTCACAGTGCTTAGTCCCCCACTCCACTCTTCAGAATTTAGGGTGAAGGATTTCCCTTTGCAGCCTCTTTTAGTGCTAAACCTGTTACTACGTCTCTTCATTCATTCAAGAACTATTAATTTAATAACTATGACATAGATAACCAAGATGTTTTCTACTCTGAACATCACTCCAAAGGGAAAAGGTACCTCGAAGCCAAGTCTCTATCTGCCCAGAATCATACAGATCAACCACAGTTTCAAATATTCTTTCCCACTGTCCACATAACCAATCACAACATCTAGGAAATTCTATTATTTTGTATGCAAAGAACATCTCCTAACCTACTTCTCAAACCCAGAAAACCTTCATCCAATCATGTGCCTTGATTTTTAGTGCAAAAAATACTATAATGTACAGATAAATCATGTTTTATAAATTAGGTTGGACTCCCATATCCCAGATTTCTAAGAGTTAAAAATAATCTCCTCCATCTAGGGATTTCCTTTAAAATCCCACTGAACTAAAATGCTTCAGAAACACCAAACTCAATTCTACTCTTCTATCTACATTCTGGCACAAAGTCAAATTCTCCCAAACTGCTCATGGAGAAAATCTTCCAATGTCATGAGGGACCAGACTTCTCCCATCACCACTAAATGCCCAAAGAACTTCCTTAGAAAGACTGATTCTCAAAACCTCAAGTTGAAGAATTAAACTTGATTAGTCTCATAATATTGCATATCACCTATAAGAAGAATAGCCAATTTTCTAACAGAATTTTCGAGGTAGAAGGGCAATAAAGATAACTTAGTTTAGGGCCAGCCCCAGTGGCCTAGTGGTTAAGTTTGGCATGCTCCACTTCAGCGGTCCGGGTTCATTTCCCAGGAGCAAACCTACACCACTTGTCTGTAAGTAGCCATGCTGCTATGGCAGCTCACATACAAAATAGAGGAAGATTGGCAACAGATGTTAACTCAGGGCCAATCTTCCTCAGCAAAAAAGGAAAAGAAAAAAGATAACTTAGTTTAAATGATTTTATGGATCAGAAAACTCGTGAAGAAATGATTGGTTCTGAATCACACAACCAGCTAGTGTTAAGGCTGGTAGAAGAACCCTGGTCCCTGACTCAGGTCCAGGGCTGTCTGACTTTGCCATGTTCCCTTATATGCCCCACCTAGCCCAAAGACACTCACAATAAGTTAAGAACAGAACTCATGTCTTCTGATTCCCAGATACCTCTCCATGAGGTCAGAATACTCTTCTTATCTTCAAATGAGCATTTGTCTCATTCTCGGATTTTATCAACCAACAACAAATGAGCTAAATAGTCTTCAGTGAAACTAGAGAGAGCAGCTCCATCTCAGATGACTGGAATACGGGCTGTAATCAATCACAATCCATTGAGAGGAACTGCTCTTGCCTTACACTTTGTATTAAAGGGTCAGTGTTGAGGCTGCCCAGAGGAAACTCCAAAGAAGATCTCAAAAGTGCAAGGTCAGCCATAAAGACCTTGCCAAGGTTAAAGCATAATGGGAAAGTTCAAGGTCTTTATCAAGGCAAGTGACACGGTTCAATGAAAACTAACATAGAGAAGGCTTCCCCAAAACAAACTTGTCACCAACACAGGCCTATTGTCAGATGTACAAGGAACTTTCTCCCATAGGACCATATGCTAAACTAGAAATCTAGATACAAACCAAAAGTTTCAACTAACTATAAAGAGAATAACTATCAATTCACAGCAGATGCTGTGCAGAGTTTACTTAAGCCATCCGAGGGAAGGCAAGTGACCAAACTTCCAAAGGAATCTTTCATATGATGAACACGTTATGAACCATAAATCTGCCTCAAATATTGTTAGACTCTCTGTTGGTGGACCTCTATCTATAGTCTGTCTCCCTACAGAGTAACCTTAGGGCTCAAAAATTTAACAGGCCAGTAATACATGCCAATTAGTACATGCATTTGTATTAATTAAAATACTTTCACTAGCCACAGGAAAATTCTTACCCTGAGGTATATGATTTCTCCCCGCTGAACCAAGAACTCGTCTCCCATAAACTCCACTCCATCTGTGAGCTTAAGGAAGCTGTTAGCGCCATCTGACTTACCATTAGAGGACAAGAGCGCCTAAGATTAAAAAAAAAAATCAAATGTCCTTCTGTGGCAGCCAGCCCCCAAGAGTGCCCGCAATGATCCTAGCCTCTCAGTATTCACGCTCTTGTATAGTTACCACCCAATTAATACAGCCGACTTGTGTTATCAACAGGAAGTCACCAAAGTGATGGTGTAGGACTTCCAGGGCTAGGGAATAAAATATATTGCAGTTTCCATCTTATTGCCTCTCAGATCACTTGCTAGCTCTGGGGAAATCCAGCTGCCCTGGTGCAGGGGCATGCACGCAGTCTACAGAAATGCCCTCCCCGAGAGGCATTGAGGCCTTGTGGCAACAGCCAGCAGCAACTTACCAACCACGTCCATGAGATACCCTTGAAGTGAATCCCCCAGGCCCAGTCAAGCCTTCCTATCATGACAGCCCCTTCACAGGACGGCAACTTCACGAGAGGCCCTGGGGCAGAACCACCGATTCCTGACCCACAGAAACTGTGAGATAAACGTTTACTATTGTTTCAAGCCTCTAGGTTTTGAAGTAACTTGTCACACAGCAATAGATTACTAATATACTTTTCCTGATTAACTCAACCCTCAGGAAATGAAAGTGCAGCATCTTCTGTTTTTGCATGATTTTTAATGTTGTCCTTTCCAAAACTTTAAGTGACCTGTATCACTTCTTGATCAACTCTCGTCTGCAAAGAACACATCACTCATAAGCGAACAATGCAGGGCCTGTCATTTACCAGCCATCCTCTTTCCAGTATCAGTAGACGCTGGAAGTTATTTCTGAAAATCCACTTCCATCAACTCAATCAATATAGCTGATCCTAATGCTAATAAAAGCTCATATTATTTGAAGGATATGAGTGTTCACAAGGGATGTAACTGTGTGTTCACAAATAATCTTTAGTCACCTGAACTTTTCCTTGTTAAACCAAGTCAAATCCCTCCACTTCTGATGCCTCTCCATCCACCCTTCTTCCCCTCAGGCTTCCTCCTCTACTCCCCACTCATTCTATAGAGCAAAGAAGAAACCAAAAAAACTAGAAACTCAACAAGACCGAAGAAGATACATATACATAACCCAACAACAGCCTATAGTTAAATGCCTTATCATCAGGAAGGATTTATGACTGATTTTTCTAGTATCCCTAGAAAATCAGCCCAGGCAATGGCTGTTCTCAAAGGAACAAAGAAGCAGTAAGAACAATCCTGGGGTTCCACATCCTTGCATTCTTTCACACCAACTCTGACGCCATGTGCCTGCCTGGGGAAAGAGAGAAATGCTTTCATGTTAACTACGTACATGTCCAGTCATGGAAGACTAAATTGCATGTCTTAGTGGCACAGAAAATCAGCAGGCAGTGTTAGCACAAACAATCTCTACCTCCTTCACCATCAGCCTTACCAGACCTACACTTTTTGAGGACTAACAGGGAGGCAAACAAAGTCAATAAAATGAAATATCAAAAGCAGCACATAAGCAAACAGACATTACTGTACAATGAAAGCCACACTTAAGGTGAGCAGATTGTAACTTAACTATAGAACAAGCACTTGTTCCTGTCTTATTTGCCAATCAGCCACACAGCTTTGATAGGTACTAATGTGGACTTCAGGAAGATAGGGGAACCTTTCAGCTTCATTAAACTGCAACCCAGCACGGTAATGCTGAACCTACCATCTTATGGAAATGTAATAGGAAATAATTAATGAATTAACCACTATTGTCTCCTCCCTTTGTGACAAGATGGTAAAGTAGGGGCCGGCCTAATGGCACCGTGGTTAAGTCTGCACGCTTTGCTTCAGCAGCCTGGGGTTTGCCGGTTTGGATCCTGGCACAGACCTACACACCGCTCATCAAGCCATGCTGTGGTGGCATCCCACATAGAAGAACTAGAAGTACTTACAACTAAGATATACAACTACGTGCTGGAGGTTTGGGGAGAAAAGAAAAAGAGGAAGATTGGCAACCAATGTTAGCTCAGGGCCAATCTTCCTCACCAAAAAATAGCATACCCTAAAAAAAAAAACTATAAGATGGTAAAGCAAATCCTGAATATGCCACCTTTCTCCAAGTCTTGTAATGTTTTGAAACTACACAAATAAAATCCTTTAAAAAAAAGAAAAAGAGGCATGATTTAAAGAATCACTTTAAAAAATACTTGCCTAGAGTACTGTCCCTTTCTCAACTGGATACTTCATTTCAGAAAACTAAGGAGTATCTCATTTGGAGCTACAATTAAATTTGAAGATGCTCAGGCTAAAAACATGCAAAACAAAAAGACTTAGATATGTCCCTAGTGCCAAAAAAAAAAAAAGACCACAGACATAATTTTATGTCTTTTTTTCTACACCAAAATTGAACTTTTTATATAAACAAGACGTGGATAAATCTCTGATATTCAAAAATCAGGAGAAAAATGTTAATTCTTCAAGGAATTCTCCTTTGGATCCCAAAACCAAAAGATTTATAAACAACCACCAAGAGCAAATTTCTCATTTCCCATCTAACTTACTCTCAATAGTTCTGCTTTGGATTATTAATCTAGCTCCCTTCCCTCCCTTCTTGCCTTTATTAATTTTGTTAATTCCTCCTTTCCTTTCTTTCTCTCTTTCATATAAAATAAGCCTGAAGTACCAACCCAGAGACTCCAAGGACCCCTGGTCAACTCATCCCATCCATCAGAAACCAGAGGAGAGGCTGGGAATTTGGGGGTATGAAGTTCCCTCCAGGAAGAATTAGTTGCTATTTTTACTGCTTAAAACACAACCTTTCAAAATGAAACCAAAAATATGGCCAAATGCCCCTAGATCTTAATAGTAAGAACATAAAATACACAGATCAGGAGTTCCTTTGCTTACTTAGCAGCAACCAGACCCTGATAAGCGTATTTTGCCCACTTCAGAAATATTTTTTTTAATCATCTAGGAAACAGAGACCAGAAGCATTATAGGATAAAAGTCTAAACAATAATCTTCTCTATGAGGAGAGAGATTATACAAACTTTAGTTATGAAGCTTAAAAAGAGAAGGCTAAGAAGCACCTAAATCATCATCTTTAATTCCAAAAAAGTTTATATAATGGAAGATGGTGACCAGATGTTGCCCCTCACCTTTGAGTATAAAACAAATGGGAAAAGCCTTGAACTTCAGCAAAAGGGCTCTAAGAGCCCAGATTCCAGAGGAGTAGGTGACCTAGACCAGTAAGTCTCAAACTTTAACAGGCATATGAATCAGCTGTGGGATCTTGTTAAAATGCAGATTGATTCACTAATTAGGAGCAGGAACTGACATTGTGTAGTTCTAGTAAGCTCCCAGGTGATGCCGGTGTTTCGTAACCCTGGCACCACACTTTGAGCAGCAAGGAGCCAGACCACGGAGTGGTATGACAGTTCATTTCCACTGTCAAGTCAGTTGAACAGGCTCCCCACAGGACTGCTTTAGCTACAGCCATTGGTCCTGATCAGGAAGCTAGCCCAAAAGGAGCAGATCCTAAAAACCTTCCTCATCAATGAGCTTTCAGACGGAAACCACAAAGAACACTGAAAAGTAAGTGTTAAATACCAGAATACAAATCTCCTCGAACCAGGTGTGTAGTCAGCTTCCTGGAGCCCTTGGGGTGTGGTTTTAACCTGGTAGGGAGGAAGTAAGACCAGATGACCTCACACACCTGGAAGACAGACTCTGATTTCACAATCCCCTTCCAACGTGTATTACAAATGATCAGTGCTTTCTGGGGATCCAAGAAATTCCCCAAGTGACTCCTCA